AGCGCGCTGTTAGCCAGGTCTGTCTGTCACTCATACAGTGTGCGGAAGCGCTCACGTTTTCTCGCGTCGTGAGTCACTTTGGATGAGAGCAACTCCTAAGTGACTGTAATGTAATAGACCGTTGTTTAATTCTGTCTCTTAAAGCAAAATGGGGGGGTGGGGGGTACTCCATCGCTAATGGAATAAACCCTGAAGTCTGCTCTCTTAAAGTTACCCTGAACATTCTCACTCCTGCAGGAGTGCCATGTCTAAAGACAGTGAATCAGAACATGGTAACAAGGTCCCAAAAGCCAAACATTCTGGTGCTCCAGGTGAATCAGGGCTGCTGGGGATGCGTTTTCACGTTCTTCACACGCCTTTTCCTTAAATGTTTTGCACCATAATGCAGGGACATTAGATAGTGTCTGCCATGTTTATGTTAAAATTATGCAGCGTCTGTTTCACATGGGTGCAGCGCAACAGGTGCCTGGCTACAATGGATTCATTCAATACTTCTGTGAAGTGAACTTTGCCCCGAAACAGATATCTCGCACAAAACTTGGTTTTATCCAATTATTAAATATAATTTGGTCTTTTTTTATCGCCGCGCCATGAGATTTGACTGTCAAAATATAGCCTTTAATCTCTCCAGGCTTTGAGGAAGGGGCATGTGGAGGATTAATTGTGGTTTTTGAAAAATGTTTAAAAGGGATTTTAAAAATGTGAACGACAAAAAGATAGAGGGTTCGGGTCAGCCAGCTGAACATGAATCTCACACTGATGTTAGAACTGGATTCTCTCGGAAGTGTGGACAAAGAGAGTCAAGCAAACCATAATTTGATTATGTTTTCATTCACGTACTCACATACATGAGACATTTTACAGACACTTATCTGTAGTGACTTATACAGGTTACAAAGTAAAAGCAAGTGCTGTGCTCCATCTGGGAATTGAACCTGCAACCTCTTATGTAAAAGGCCAGCTCCTCAAACACTGCACCTCACCGCCCCCGTAGTGCAAAATTAAAGTGCATACAGTGTTATGCCCTGTTGTCTGGATCAGCTGGGAAATTTACATGGAATTACGTTGTAGGATTTGGCAGATTAATTCTTTTGCTTACCCACCGGAGTTCATATCCCAGACTAATGTGCTTTTATTTTCTTATGATTCAAATGTTCATATTCTGTCACATTACTTTTTTTTACTTGAGATTATTTCTATTTTTACACGAGGACTGAAATATATATAAAGGTAAAAAAAAAAAAAAACAATAATTCAACAATCTCTACCCTGTCTCCAAGAGATTTTTTTGTGCAATGGTAAGACACAGTGAGGAACAGGTGGGTGAACATATGCAGCTTAATCAGGAGATCTTAGTTCTTACATGTCTCCTTCCCTGCAGCCCAGGGGTGGGAATCTCTCTGTCCCAGGAAGGCTGCTGTGTATTCCAATTACCCATCCTCAATGAGTTAATTAGCTGTGCACTCCAGCGCCGGTTCAGCTGGGACTCAGATCACAGGGCAATGTTTGCTATGAGGACACAAAAGCAGCCCTCACCTGTCAATCAAAATACTGTTTATGAGCTAGACCACATAAATGACTCTGTCCCCCTCTCTCTCTCTCACACAGTCCCCCCCCTCTCTCTCTCTCTCTCTCTCTCTCCCCACACAGTCTCTCTCTGTCTCTCTCTTTCCCCCTCTCTCTCCCTCTCTCTCTCTCTCTCTCTGTCTCTCTCTGTCTCTCTCTCCCTCTCTCTCCGTCTCTCTCTCTCCCTCTCTCTCTGTCTCTCTCTCTCTCTCTGTCCCTCTCTCTCTCTCTCTCTCTCTGTCTCTCTCTGTCTCTCTCTCTCCCTCTCTCTCTCTGTCTCTCTCTCTCCCTCTCTCTCTGTCTCTCTCTCTCTCTCTGTCCCTCTCTCTCTCTCTCTCTCTCTCTCTCACCCCCTCTCTCTCTCTGTCTCTCTCTCTCTCAGTTTCAATTCAATTTCAATTTCAATTTTATTAGCATGACATGGGCTGTGTTGCCAAATCAAATGGTACAATTAACACAACTAATGAGAACAACAACAAAAAGGAACAAACATGAATACAATGAATGAGTATTATTCTAACATTTAAACATTTATTTTATTCCTATAGTGTGTGACAGGTTGCTTCATATAGAGCAGCCAGGGAGGCTGTGTGTCCTTCACCCAGTAAGATTGGTAATTGTCTCTCCATAGGGAGTGTTTCAAAATTTGGATATATTGTTTTACATTTTTGTAAGAAGTCTTTTGGGAATTTGAGTAATTTGTGCAGTATAGGAGGAAGTGTAGCTCTGTCTCAGCCTCACCTGTCTCACAGTGATCACATATCCTCTCGTCTTTGGGGCTTCAGGTTTGCTTGTGTCTTACAGTTTCAATGGCCAGGCTGTGATCACTTAGTCTCTCCCTCCCTCCCTCCCTCTCTCTCTCCCTCTCAAGTGTAACCATGGCAGCAGCGTGGATAGAGAATGCTGTCCCCCCATGGCTGGATGCGGATCCAGACTCAGGGCCCCTTCAGCCGCTCACCACAGAGGGGTCAGCTGCCAGTGCGGCCCCCACACCATCCCCAGGTAAACCCACATGCCTTTCATTCTTTCATTAATCCATTCCTTTCATTAATTCATTCATCCACTCATTCACTCAGACATTCATTCTGCAGACTCCCCTGTGTGTGGGACATTTGTGTGCGTTATGTTTACACAGCTGAGCGGTGACTCAAGCAAGTCAGATTACATTCCCAGCATCAACCACGGAATTCTAACATAACAAGCATCTTATCCTGTTCATTTGTTTGTTTGTTTTGTTTGTTTGTTCGTTTGTTCGTTCGTTCGTTCGTTCATTCGTTTCTTTCGTTCATTCGTTCATTGGTTCGTTTGTTCGCTCGTTTTGTTCGTTCGTTTCTTTCGTTTGTTCGTTCATTGGTTCGTAGGTTCGTTTTGTTTGTTTGTTTTGTTCGTTCGTTTCTTTCGTTTGTTCGTTCATTGGTTCGTTCATTGGTTCGTTGGTTCGTTGGTTCGTTTCTGTCGTTCGTTTGTTTGTTCGCTAATCTCAGGTTTGATGCTCAACTGCTGCTGCTCTTCTCCCTCTTCAGCACTATTTTGATCTCTCTGTAATTAGCAATGTTTATTCTCCAAAGCTGTCTGTGCAGTACAGCTTTCTCCTGCCTGAACATTTGACAAGAATGATTTTATCATCATCCTAACCAGCTTCTTGTTTCCATATTTTGGGCATCCTGTGAGCTCTGGGGGTTGAGCTGCAGGCAGCCGACCTGTCCACGAATCACACGCTACTTATGCCACTGGAGGAAGGTGAAGTTTTTATTATCCTCAGTTTGTGCTGTGGTAGTCTCCGCTAGAGAGAGATGAGACCAGTGCAGGCCTCCGCCCATGGGGCACCATGCGGCTGGGATTGGAGCTTCCAGAGCAGGGGCGCCCAGGTTACGTCTCACGCAGCCGGAGGTTCTTTGATCCCCTTACTTCCCAGAATGCACTAGTGTCTAAGGAGCAGGTGAATGAGTGAGGCCTTCGCTCTGACCTCTCCAGCTGGGTCAAACGCACAGTTTGCAGGACTTTCCTGTTACAGTAATATCCATAGGAGAGTTACCATAAACCAAAGTAAATTCATTAAAACAGTCCTAGCAATGACCATGGCAACAACAACACATTCTTCAAAATAAAAGTCCTTAGAAGAACATAGTTAGTAAAAGTAGGCTATGCAGTAAAAAGACTTTTGTGATTTTTTTTTTTTGTTTTGTTTTGTTTTTTTTTTAACCACACAATTTGTAACCCACTAAAAATGGTCCCAGAGCCCCCTTTTGGGTCACCAGTTGAGAACGACAGCCATAAACATTGCCTGACTGGCTATGTTTAATCATTATAATCACAGCACTGTTACATTCACTGTGGCATTTTGCTGTACTGGCGTTGACCAATAGGAGGCAGAGCAAAGCAAGCAGAGTAATACTGTAGGTAAACTAGCTGAAGTCACAGACAAAAAGAGAATAGGAGAAATCCTGAGAGATGAGCTGGAAAATGAAAAGTCTGTTGGCACATGGACAAAAGTGAGCTGCAGCTGATCGTAATACCCCATGTTTGCCGCGCGCTGCAGACCAAACCCTGCGTGTTACTGGACTCCTGAAGTCATGGCGGAGTGGCTTTGCTGTCAGCTCACTGCTGGAGTGGTCCCTCATAAATGGGTTGACCCGTTGACCCCTGACCTCTGACCCCTTCATTAGTTCAGTGTGGGCTGTCAAAAGTAAATGGGAGCCCGGGTCTCATTGACTGGGTGAGAGTTCATGTGTTTGTGCGTATACGAGTGTGTGTGTGTGTGTGTGTGTGTGTGTGTGTGTGTGTGTGTGTGTGTGTGTGTGTGTGTGTGTGTGTGTGTGTGTGTGTGTGTGTGTGTGTGCATTTACGCACACTCTCCCAGAGTCAGAGACACAACCATTGAACAACAGTCTGTTTACGATCAATGAAAATTCTCTTGGGAAGCATTGCGCTTGAAAACTCAGCCCGTCAGAGGGGGTGAAGGGACTGAAGTGCCTGACTAACGCCCAGCTCCCTGTCCACGTGTGATGACTGTTCATAAGTGCTCCTCAAACGTGCTTGCATTCCCGCCTTTAACACACCAATTAAAGAGTTAGGGACTGGTGGATGTGCCATGTATTCACCCCCTCATCTGCTAAAACAACATGGGTCTAACAGGCATCTGATTGGCGTTCTCAGCTTGGTAGGTGAGTTAATTAGTGGAATCAGATAGTTTAGTGCATGGGTGAAACAAATGCATATTAGTACCCGTACTTTTGGAAGCAGGGGTTTTCCTGTTCCACTCAATATGACGTTTTGGGGGTCGGTTGGTTAAGGGTGGCAGTTTCTGTTCTCCTTCTGCATTTAGCGCTATACGTCATGAGAATTTGTTTCAGATTCCCATCTCTCCCTTTCTGCCCAATGTTTAGTTAAACTCTATGGTGTTTTATTAAGCAGCTCTGCCCTGCTGTAACAGG